TCAACTCTGCTTTTCATTAAAAGATCATCAGCAGTGGAAAATGGTGATTGTTCTGAAGGTGCCTGGGGTCTTTGGTTTCTTGGGACCTGAATGACTTGCATGTAGCTTTGTTGATGGAACCATGAATTCTGCTCTCTGCCAGAAAATCCTGAAAGACTTTGTGAGCAGGACAATGATCCAAACCACAATGCAGGCTTGTAATGGTTCTAAAAACAAGATGAACACTTTGGGATTCACCACATCCAACATTAATTAAGATGTTGTCACATGACAGTCTGTTCATTCTCAAAAAATATATTTTTTAGATATTAGAAAGAAATCAAAAGAAAATAGAATTATTTGTTTAATTCTTTTTGGGAAAGAGCCACTGGCAGTCATCTCAAAACCCAGAAGAGAGTAATTTCAATCAGCAGTGGGTACAACAAGTTATTACACTGATGGAGTAATTTCATTTCCATCAAGTCCATTATTATTTGATTCACTTTTATTCCTTAAAATATTTTCAAAACAGCTGTTCCCTCTATTTCCCTGAATATTGAAACTTGTTTTATCCTCTGAGGAAGAGTATTTAACTATGGCAAAAATACATTATTGGAAAACCAGAAAAGGAGGCAAACACTTATTTTTACAACATCATTAGGGAACAAACTAACAACTCCAAATAGACAGATTCTAGGCTCCATTATTGCTACTGTAGGATCTACCTTCTGTTTATTTGGGTGAATGTAACAAAACTCTGGATAAGGCTTAGTTGCTCTATCATGGAGGAAGGTTCTAGCTCAGAGAACCAAGCACTCACTGATCAAACTGGACATTTCATATATGCACAGTTGTTGGACAATTGTTGAAATCCCTAAAACACAGAAAGTATGTATTTAGGTCACCTGAAAGTTATCATGAGAAAACTGGAAATTATAAAAGCATGTATAATGCTCTAAACATATTTAATCTTTATGCTCACGAGAAACACAAACATTTAAATCACTTTCTAGACTCACTTTCCTCATCTCTTCTATGAATACCACAGGGTTATTGAAAGTAAATCACCGGACAAAGCTCCAAGACAGAAGGAAAGTTATTTTTACCAGAGATAGCAAAGTGAAAAGGGAGGAAAAAGCATTAACCAACAGAACAAAAAAGACAGAGTCTGAACTTTAGGTATGCTTTATGGATATGTGTGTCGCGTGAGAAATGGAGCAGCTGGAACAGCTGTCACTGTCACATACAGTATTTACAAGCTAACTGTTCCCACTGGCATCTGTAGAACAGGTTCTAACGGCTGGCTGTGATTCTGACAGATATGAATTAAATCATGGAGTTTAGCCCTGACTGGATCAGCAATAAATTAAGTGGATAGAAATGTTCAAGATACAGCATGGTTGCAGGGGAGTCCCCATAACCTGACAAACTGTGGGAACTCTAAATAGATGGAAATTTATAGCACAAGGCAAGTTTTCAGCTGCTGTTCTGAAAAACAAAATTTATCTGAAATGTGGCCTAGAAGACTATAAAGTTGCTGAGAAATTGCATCAGCGCTTTAACAACTAAAAGTGCTTCCCCATCAGGATTATTTTAAAGAATTTTAAATCTTAAACCCAGGATGTGTGCAATATATTTCCTGGTTGACCTGATGAAACGCAAATTTGTAATGAGGAGACACCATACTGATGTAGGTTATATTTATTTATATATTTTGGTTATATTTTAAGTTTTTATAGACACAATAATCTCTAAGACAAATAAAAACACATAAAAATCTATTATTAAATCAAACATCATGTTAAAGGTAATAAAAAGATATTGTTATATTTTTTTGGCTTTTCTCTGTGAACTTTTTCATTGTAGCTTGTTGGTTCATGTTAACTCTTGTTTTTCTTGAAGCTGGTTTATCTTGTTTATTGCAGTCCGTTTATTCCATGCTGTTCATGCTAGACATGTTTTTGTGATACTTTGCCACTTTTCATCCCATATGTGTTGTCCCCTTTGCGTTTAGTCTTGTTTGGTTTAGTATTTAGTATGTAAAATCTTCTTTTTTCTTTGACTGCCACATTAATATGATGTTCAAGTTTGTTATCAAACAGCAAAAGTTAGGGTAAAATAACAGCGTGCCTCTGAGAGTTATAACAGTCTCATGTTTGGATGAGATTAGCATACTCCACAATAAAGGTTTCTATATTTCTTTATGGTTTGAATTATGTCTCCTGACCTGAAGTAAAAACAAATTATATAAAAAAGGCAAAAAATAAATGAATAAATAACTAAAAACCTTGGCTAAGAAAATACCACCAGTTACTTTCAAATTATCAGTATGGATGGGACCCATTCCTCTAAAGTTATATCACATAAATTAAGCCTTAAATAACACTTTTTTTCATTCGTCCAGCTCACCAAGTGAAACGCACAATGCTTTTGAGCCTTTATTTTCATTAACAAGGATGATTTTGTGATTCCAGCCAATTAAACAAAACATTCAAGATTGAAATTATCTATCTATCTATCTATCTATCTATCTATCTATCTATCTATCTATCTATCTATCTATCTATCTATCTATCTATCTAT